TGATCGATGTCTTCTTCTGTTTTTATCACGAGTTTTCTCACGATCATTTCCCCTCTCTCTGTCCCTTTCTCGGGAACGACTCTGACACTGGTGTCTTTCTCTAGATCTCGATCTTCTTGAAGAATGCCCTCGTTTGTGAGGAGACCTACTTCGACTACGTCTGTGACGAAGTGGAGAAAGATTTCTCTTATTGTTATCATCGTCTCTTTTTAAATGAAGTGGAAGACGTCTATCTGGTGTTAAGCTTCTTCTCAGGTCCTATATGAATAATTCATTGATTATAACAATATTTAAATTTTATAATAGTATTTTTCATCTTTTTACCTTATCGTCATCTGATTCAACATCATCCAGAGCAATAATTCTTGGTTCTAAATAATTACACTTTTCCAAAACTTGTCTTTTCTGTATAAAAAATTAACATAGAAAATTAACATAAAATGAAACTGTACCAAAATGACTTAAAATTCATAAACTTACCTGTATTCTTGGTAGAAAAATATCACAAACTCTTTCTTCATGTAATAGTTCATGAATAAATTCATCCATACGAACTATTTCCAATGCTATAATATATATTAATCAGTTATATTAATTAATATTTATAAAACTGATCAAGTTTTTAAAGAAAAAAACAATTAATCTTCACCTACCTCCAGATCTGTTTTTTCTCAAAAGTTTTCTGTGATCATTATACAATGGTTCCAAATATTTGTAGCAATCAACAGCAGTTCCAACTAATCTCATACAGATTGCACCTAACGCTCGAGCATATCTAATTTAAAATATGGTTTTTAAAATCAAATATCATACGATATCTTTACTAAAAATTATTTAAATTTTCATTTATATATGATAATTACAAATGCAAAATCAATTGCAAAAAATTAAATAAGAAATTCAGTAAACAAATATCAAACATATTATTAAATTTAAAAATACTTTTAGCTTTCTTTTTATTCAAAGTGGCTTAAAAATTCTTAACTAATTAAGAACAAAAGAATTTTCTAAATATTTTGCATTAAAAACGTAACTCTTATTTCTTAAAAACAACAATAAATAATAATAAAAATAATAATAACAACATTCCCGTGGTCACCACCTGGTAATTTTACTGATCCATAGGGCAATGCAAACTGGAGTACAAGCTCCTGGTAGGGACACCCATGCCAGTAAGGTCTACGCGGAAAAATAAAGCTAAGAGTGACCACACACCCACATTCTGTGGAGATATTTATTATGGTAGTAACCAGATCTAAGATTGATACCAGCTCAGACATAGCCCAAATTAACAAAATTTGCATTTGTGAGTTAGGCAGAGGATCACGTTCGAAAAATAAGCTTCAGTCTCCCTTGGTTACTGGTGGCGAAAGCAGCGCCGGCCCAATCATGGCTACTGCAATGCCCTCAACAGATGTGAAGAATCAACCTAGCCTTGTTGTTTCTGTGGCAATGCATCCACAGACCACAAAGGCTGGAATACCACGCCAACGGATGAAATAGACAACAGAAATGAATGAGTTTATCATCTGTACTTACTACGCAATCACAATACTCGAAACAAACATGACAGCATACAGACAACAACTACACCATAGATTCACACAACAATATCCTCACCTCACTGTCACCTAACAAAGGGTTGTTGATCAAAAGTGAACAATTATACACAACAACCTTATCCCACAAACAACACTTGAACTTATCAAACAACAGGTTGCTGATCAAATACATCAACAGACAAACATTCAACATTATTAACAAAGATCACATAACCTGTCAAAATAGTCCAGCAACAAGCATTGATAATAGCACACATACAACAACTATAACTAATGATACTATAGGCACTTTTTCATCTATCACTGATAATGTATACATAGGATTAGTTAATACGCTCTCACTTATATTTCAGTCAACACTCACTAAATATACAGGCACAGATCCTACACAAAGACCACGAATACTGAAAATCAACACATCAAAGATAATAGGAAAAACACTAAATTATGTAAACACTCACTTACTACCAAACTACATTCATTCAATTTATACACTCTCAGACATTCATACATTAGTTTATGCTAAAGCAGTCACAGTAGTAACACACCATAAACTGAAAATACAATCACAGACAGACACACACAAAACACAATTCTATCATAAGCCTGCCTGGCAGAGACGAATAGAAACACAAATAAATGACATTAGACAGCAATTAGGCAGCCTGACACAATACACTAATAACAACATAACACCCAAATTTATGAAACAACTCAAAAACATTTTTAAGAAAAATCAATACACACACAAAACATGAACATCACAACACACACATTACAGAATACATCGATACACTAAAACAGAAACTCACAGCCAAAGCACAGACTCAAATCATACAAAACATGTACACTACGGAAACAACAAAATAAATTATTCACAAACAATGAAAAACTTTTTTACAGACAAATCAGTACCAAAACAAACACTAATACACAGCACAGTGGCACACAAACAGAAGAACTCACAACTTATTGGTCTTCTCTTTGGTCCAATGCTGTTACACACAACGCTGATGCAGGCTGGATCAAGGAGGAAAACATAAACTTGCATAACATACCAAGTATGCCCTGTGCTGAAATAAACATACATGACATTTGCTACACTGTTAACAGAACACACAACTGATAGACACCTGGTGTAGACAACATTCACAATTTCTAGTGAAAAAAAGTTTACATCACTGAACCAGAAACTAGCTAAACATCTAACACACATCATCATCAATCCATAAGACATGCCAAAATTTCTTACTCAGAGCATCACCTACATGAAACCTAAAAACAACAACACCACAGACCCCACACAATACAGACCAATTACATGTCTTCCAACACACTACAAATTATTGGCATCCTGTATCACAAACAAAATATACAAACATGTTGAAGAACACGACTTTCTTACAGAACAACAAAAACGTTGCCGTAGAAATCACAGGGGATGCAAAGAACAGTTACTCATAGATTCAGTCATTCTACGGTAAGCACACAAACAACACACAAACATACAAATGGCATATATAGACTACAGAAAAGCATTCGACAGTGTTCCACACAGTTGGCTGCTACATATCCTACACATGTACAAAATACATCCATCACTCATTGCATTCTTCCAAAACACTATGCAGCACTGGAGAACAACACTACATCTCAGGGTTAGTAACATTTCCATACAAATAAAGGAAATATTCATTAGGCAAGGAATTTTTCAAGAAGATTCCTTGAGTCCTCTCTCGTTCTGCCAAGCCCTGAACCCATTATTCAACATGTTAAACAACAAGCAATATGGCTACAATATCAGAGATAAAAAAATACACATTTTACACTCACATTTCACGTACATGGACGACATAAAACTTTATGCATCCACACAAAAACAACTACAGCAGCTCTTACAAATCACACATTCATACACCAATAACATACAAATGGAGTTTGGTTTAGACAAATGCAAAACACTTCACATAGAAAAAAAAGTCCTGAAGAAAGAAGATTTTGCACTTGGAAATGGAGACGACATTTAATCCATGGAAAAAGGCGAATTCTACAAGTATTTAAATTTTCAACAGGCCAGACTAACAGAACATACACAAATAAAGCAAAGATTAACTAAAGAATACCAAAGTAGGTTAAACGCTATTCTGAGAACACAGTTAAATGCAAAACACACAGTTAAAGCAATAAACACATATGTCATCCCAGTACTCACATACTCTTTTGGAGTTATACATTGGACTCACACAGATCTCGAGCAACTCCAAAGGAAAACAAAAACAACACTTACTAAGCATAAACATCATCATTCTAAATCTGCAATAGAAAGATTAACCCTTCCACGTAAAAATGGCAGACGTGGCCTGATTGACATAATTAACCTTCACTACAAACAAATACAGTCACTGCAAGAGTTTTTCTACAAGTAACAAAAAACATCGCAGTTACATAAAGCAGTAACTCTATAGCAGACTTAAATAACACACAATTATACTAACACTCACATCATACAGACTTGACACAACATATAAAGAGCACAGACACCAAGCAATCATAAGCTCGAAAAACACTCCATGGCAAGCATCCTTATAACCTGGCTCAAAATTTCGTTGACAAAACTGCGTCAAACAGCTGGTTAGATCAAGGATGCCTCTTTATGGAAACTGAAGGATTAATGATTGCCATACGGGATCAGGTCATAGATACTAAAAACTACAGAAAACACATACTCAAAGATACAACACTCACAAATGACACACCATGCCAGAAACTATACAACACATTACATCTAAGTGCAAGCTCTTGGCACAGACAGATTATTTACACAGACATAATCAAGTAGCAAATATAATAAACCAAGAGCTTGCAAAGAAACACAAATTGGTAGATATCCACGAACCATACTACAAATACATTCCACAGACAGTGTTGGAAAACAATACGCACAAACTGTACTACGACAGAGCCATAATCAAAGATGAAACAATTCACCACAACAGACCAGACATCACATTCATTGACAAACACAATAAAATCACATACATTATAGACATAGCCGTTACACTCACTCACAATGTTCAAAACACGTGCACTAAAAAAATTAGCAAGTATACAGAACTCGCCCAAAAAATAAAGCATCTGTGGAGGATAGAAAGGGTGCTTATTGTACCTATTGTTTTCTCCTGTACAGGTGTGATAACACACACACACTACACAAAAGCCTGGGAACATTACAATTGAATAGAAATACACATATAACACTACAGAAGGCAACTATGTTGAATACATGACATATTGTTAGGAAATTCCTGAATACACACACTGACACACACATTTAATTTTAGTTTCATTTTGGTTGCTATGCCTTGACTCTGGTCCGGCATAGTACTCAGCCACCGGTGTAAACCAAGTATAATTCACTAAACCCAGCATAATAATAATAATAATATTTGCAGCTTTCTGTAGTGCCATGTATATCTTCTATTATAGTTTAATGTCTCTAGACTTTTGTTTAGTGTATGTGGTATAACATCAGTGGAAGAGAGAACAACAGGTACAGTAAATACCTGAACCATCCTCAACATCTGTCTTATTTCTTGAGTGAGTGGAATGTACTTGACTTTTTTCAGAGTAAGCATTCTTTATGTTACAAGTGTTTGCAATGAAAAATGTCTATTATATAAGTGATATTACTGCATTTGTCAATGAAAAAGAAGGTGTGAGGAATTCTTTAATCTGCAATTATGCTTTGTCATAGTATATTTTGTGTGTGTTATTTTCTAATACTGCTTGTAAAGTATATTTGTAGTATGGTACCTGATAACCTGTGCTTCTGTGCAAGCTTTTGGTGTATTATATTTTCTACTTGACTATGCCTATGTAAATAGTCTGTGCTAAGAGCTTGCAACCACAAATTATGTTGTATTGTTTCTGGCAGAATGTGGCATTTTTTGGACAAGTCATTTGTGAGTGAGGTATCCTTCAGGGTGTGTTTCCTGTAGTTTTTACTGTTTATGTCCTGATCTTAAATGGCAACTATGAAACCCTCAGTGTCTCCAAACAGGTAACCTCTAGTCAGCCAGTACTTTAATGCAGTTTTGTCAACATATTCCTGAGCTAGGCATGCCTGCCATTAAGTGCCTTTTGGGCCCATGAATTAGTGGTGTCTATGTATTTTATATGTTTAGCTATGTTCAGGTGCTCAGAGTGCAAGTTTAAAGGTGTGGTTACTGTCTGCCAGTGATAGTTTATGTAATCTTGATGTTTGTTTTTTTGTAAAAACAACTCCTACAGTGTCTGTCTTTGTAGTGCAGGTTAACTATATTAGTAAGGCCACGGCCATCTTCACAAAAAAAAGTTAGTCTTTCTATGCATAATTTTAGGTGATATTGTTTATGCTTAGTAAGTGTTATTCTTGTTTTCCTTTGTAGTTGCTTGAAATCTGTGCATGTCAAGTGTATACCTCCAAAAAAATAAATGAGTACAGGAACAACATAGGTATTAATAGCATGTTTTGCATTTAGGTGTGTTTTTGGTACTGCATGTAATCTATTCTGGTACTCAAGTGTTAACTTCCTTTGATTTATTTGTGCATGTTCTGTAAGTTAGGCCTGTGTGATCACAATTATCATTATCACTATTATTATTATTAAAAATACATATATAACTTACTCGAAATCTTCTTGATGGATAAATTCTACGATAATATCCTTTTCAGGTTGAATTTGTAACATTTTTAGAATTAAACATAAAAATGGAGTTGGCTGAATATTGCTTCCAAAAACACCACCACAGAATTCTAATTCCACTGCTTTATCCACCAGCAGTTCGGCTATAAAATAAGACACTTCAATTAATATACTTAAAAATATACTTTTAATTAATGTTAATTAAAACATAAACATTGTCAAATACACTGGAAAGAAAAAGATAAATCAAGTCATGATTCCAATTCATTTTCTTCCTAAAAAAATTCAAAGATAAAAAAACTTTCTGAAACAGAATAATGAAATAATAAGATTTAGTAAATCCAAAGATAAGCGTATACTTCAGTAGATACAGACTCTGTTATTTGTCTTATTTCCTGTTTTTTATAGCACAGAAATGGCTATTTACTGTCAACAATAGTGTAGCTTGATTGACTTATACTTTTACTAGTACATATCATCAAAGAAAGGAGAATGGACAAGAAGAGTCAACAAATACAAATGTTTAATAAATAGAGTGTTGAAAAAATCAAATATTTAACTGTTAAAAGAATTTTATATTAAATATACTGTAATTAATNCCAGTACTCACATACTCTTTTGGAGTTATACATTGGACTCACACAGATCTTGAGCAACTCCAAAGGAAAACAAGAACAACGCTTACTAAGCATAAACAACATCATCCTAAATCCGCCATAGAAAGATTGACACTCTCACGTAAAGATGGCGAATGTGGCCTGATTGACATAATTAACCTTCACTACAAACAAATACAGTCACTGCGAGAGTTTTTTTACATGTAACAAGAAACATCGCAGTTACATAAAGCAGTAACTCTAGCAGACTCAAATAACACACCATTAAACTTACACTCACATCATACAGACTTGACACAACATATAAAAAGCACAGACACCATCAAGCAATCGTAAGCTCGAAAGGCACTCCATGGCAGGCATCCTTATAACCTGGCCTAGGATTTTGTTGACAAAACTGCGTCAAACAGCTGGTTAGATCGAAAATGCCTTTTTGGGGAGACGGAAGGATTCGTGATTGCCATACGGGATCAAGTCATAAATACTAAAAACTACAGAAAACACATACCCGAAGATACAACACTCACAAATGACATATGAAAGAAATGTCACGTCATGCCAGAAACTATACAACACATTACATCTAATTGCAAGCCCTTGGCACAGACAGATTATTTACACAGACATAATCAAGTAGCAAATATAATACACCAAGAGCTTGCAAAGAAACACAAATTTGTAGACATCCACGAACCTTACTACAAATACTTTCCACAGACAGTATTGGAAAACAATACGCACAAACTGTACTACGACAGAGCCATAATCACAGATAAAACAATTCACCACAACAGACCNACCACAGCCATCTTCACAAAAAAAAGTTAGTCTTTCTATGCATAATTTTAGGTGATATTGTTTATGCTTAGTAAGTGTTATTCTTGTTTTCCTTTGGAGTTGCTTGAAATCTGTGCATGTCAAGTGTATACCTCCAAAAAAATAAATGAGTACAGGAACAACATAGGTATTAATAGCATGTTTTGCATTTAGGTGTGTTTTTAGTACTGCATGTAATCTATTCTGGTAATCGAGTGTTAACCTCCTTTGATTTATCTGTGCATGTTCTGTAAGTTTGGCCTGTGTGATTTTAATTATTATTATCACTATTATTGTTATTAAAAATACATATATAACTTACTCGAAATCTTCTTGACGGATAAATTCTATGATAATATCCTTTTCAGGTTGAATTTGTAACATTTTTAGAATTAAACATAAAAAAGGAGTTGGCTTAACATTGCTTCCAAAACCACCACTACAGAATTTTAATTCCACCGCTTTATCCACCAGCAGTTCGGCTATAAAATAAGAGACTTCAATTAATATACTTAAAAATTTACTTTTAATTAATGTTAATTAAAACATAAACATTGTCAAATACACTGGGAGAAAAAAGATAAATCAAGTCATGATTTCAATTCATTTTCTTCCTAAAAAATTCAAAGATAAAAAAAACTTTCTAAAACAGAATAATGACATAATAATATTTAATAAATCCAAGGATAAGCATATACTTCAGTAAAAACAGACTCTGTTATTTGTCTTATTTCCTGTTTTTTATAGCATAGAAATGGCTATTTACTGTCAACAATAGTGTAGCTTGATTGACTTATACTTTTACTAATATGTACCATCAAAGAAAGGAGAATGGACAAGAAGAGTCAACAAATACAAATGTTTGGTAAATAGAGTGTTAAAAAATAAAATATTTTACTGTTAAAAGAATTTTATATTATTAGGTAACCAAAAAAGTTCTGTCATTTTTTGTGAAACTACAAAGTTTAAAGAATGTTACACGCAATACACAACAGATGACACTAAAATTCCAGCAATATGTTAATCAAGATTTAATGCTGACTCACCTTACATAAAGAGAAGTGGAAAGTTTATCTCTTAATATTATAAAAATTGACTTGAAGATGAGTACTCCAAATGCTATAATTCGTGCTTGTATGTTGTATGAGTTTAAACTTGGAACAAATGTTGTGCAAATGGCTCAAAAATATGCCAGACTTTTGGACAAGGTTCTGTCAGCACTCACACCACCCAAAGATGGTTTACAAAATTTTCTTCCGGCGATAAGTTGCTTAAAGATGCGCCATGAGAATGATGATGAATTACAGGCTACAATCGAAGAGGATTTTGCTCAAACTTGTCAGATGTTAGCACAAAGGTTCTCTGTAAGTGATGAAACTGTCTGTTTACATTTGCATTGTCTTGGGAAAGTTTACAAGCTCAGTAAATGGATACTTCATCAATTGGCACCTGCCAATATTGTGCATATGGTGGACTGCAAATGGAATTGTTCACTATGAACTTATACCATCTGGCCAGACTATTACTGCTAATGTCTACAGCGACCAACTGCATTGAGTTCACCAATCACTTTTGAATAAACAGCTAGCTTTAGTGAACCATAAAGGCGTTCTTTTCCTACACAATAATGCTATAGGCCTCATGTCGCACGTATGACCTCTGACACAATTTAGACCCTTGGATGGGAACCTCTTTTGCACCCTCCTTATTCCCCTGACATTAGCCCGACTCACACAGATCTTGAGCAACTCCAAAGGAAAACAAGAACAACGCTTACTAAGCATAAACAACATCATCCTAAATCCGCCATAGAAAGATTGACACTCTCACGTAAAGATGGCGAATGTGGCCTGATTGACATAATTAACCTTCACTACAAACAAATACAGTCACTGCGAGAGTTTTTTTACATGTAACAAGAAACATCGCAGTTACATAAAGCAGTAACTCTAGCAGACTCAAATAACACACCATTAAACTTACACTCACATCATACAGACTTGACACAACATATAAAAAGCACAGACACCATCAAGCAATCGTAAGCTCGAAAGGCACTCCATGGCAGGCATCCTTATAACCTGGCCTAGGATTTTGTTGACAAAACTGCGTCAAACAGCTGGTTAGATCGAAAATGCCTTTTTGGGGAGACGGAAGGATTCGTGATTGCCATACGGGATCAAGTCATAAATACTAAAAACTACAGAAAACACATACCCGAAGATACAACACTCACAAATGACATATGAAAGAAATGTCACGTCATGCCAGAAACTATACAACACATTACATCTAATTGCAAGCCCTTGGCACAGACAGATTATTTACACAGACATAATCAAGTAGCAAATATAATACACCAAGAGCTTGCAAAGAAACACAAATTTGTAGACATCCACGAACCTTACTACAAATACTTTCCACAGACAGTATTGGAAAACAATACGCACAAACTGTACTACGACAGAGCCATAATCACAGATAAAACAATTCACCACAACAGACCAGACATCACACTCATTGACAAACACAATAAAATCACATACATTATAGACATAGCCGTTCCAAACACACACAATGTTCAAAACACATGCACTGAAAAAATTAGCAAGTACACAGAACTCACCCAGGAAATAAGGCATTTGTGGAGGATGAAAAGGATGCTTATTGTACCTGTTGTTCTCTCCTGTACAGGTGTGATAACACACACACTACACAAAAGCCTGGGAACATTACAATTGAATAGAAATACACATATAACACTACAGAAGGCCACTATGTTGAATACATGCCATATTGTTAGGAAATTCCTGAATACAGACACATTTAATTTTAGTTTCATTTTGGTTGCTATGCCTTGACTCTGGTCCGGCATAGTACTCAGCCACCGATGTAAACCGAGTATAACCCACTAAACCCAACATAATAATAATACTTGCAGCTTTCTGTAGTGCCATGTATATCTTTTATTATAGTTCAATGTTTCTAGACTTTTGTTTAGTGTATGTGGTATAACATCAGTGGAAGAGAGAACAACAGGTACAGTAAATACCTGAACCATTCTCCACATCTGTCTTATTTCTTGAATGAGTGGAATGTACTTGTTGACTTTTTTCAGAGAGAATTTTTTATGTTACAAGTGTTTGCAATGAAAAATGTCTATTATATAAGTGATATTACTGCATTTGTCAATGAAAAAGGAGTGAGGAATTCATTTATCTGCAATTATGCTTTGTCATAGTATATATTGTGTGTGTTATTTTCTAATACTGCTTGTAAAGTATATTTGTAGTATAATACCTGGATGTTTAATAATCTGTGCTTCTGTGCAAGCTTTTTGTGTATTATATTTTCTACTTGACTATGCCTATGTAAATAGTCTGTGCTAAGAGCTTGCAACCACAAATTATGTTGTATTGTTTCTGGCAGAATGTGGCAATTTTTGGACAAGTCATTTGTGAGTGAGGTATCCTTCAGGGTGTGTTTCCTGTAGTTTTTACTGTTTATGTCCTGATCTTAAATGGCAACTATAAAACCCTCACTGTCTCCAAACAGGTAACCTCTAGTCAGCCAGTACTTTGATGCAGTTTTGTCAACATATTCCTGAGCTAGGCATGCCTGCCATGAAGTACCTTTTGGACCCATGAATTAGTGGTGTCTATCTATTTTATATGTTTAGCTATGTTCAGGTGCTCAAAGTGCAAGTTTAAAGGTGTGGTTACTGTCTGCCAGTTATAGTTTATGTAATCTTGATCCTTGTTTTTTTGTAAAAACAACTCCTACAGTGTCTGACTTTGTAGTGCAGGTTAACTATATTAGTAAGGCCACGGCCATCTTCACAAAAAAAAGCTAGTCTTTCTATGCATAATTTTAGGTGATATTGTTTATGCTTAGTAAGTGTTATTCTTGTTTTCCTTTGTAGTTGCTTAAAATCTGTGCATGTCAAGTGTATACCTCCAAAAAAATAAATGAGTACAGGAACAACATAGGTATTAATAGCATGTTTTGCATTTAGGTGTGTTTTTGGTACTGCATGTAATCTATTCTGGTACTCAAGTGTTAACTTCCTTTGATTTATTTGTGCATGTTCTGTAAGTTAGGCCTGTGTGATCACAATTATCATTATCACTATTATTATTATTAAAAATACATATATAACTTACTCGAAATCTTCTTGATGGATAAATTCTACGATAATATCCTTTTCAGGTTGAATTTGTAACATTTTTAGAATTAAACATAAAAAAGGAGTTGGCTGAATATTGCTTCCAAAAACACCACCACAGAATTCTAATTCCACTGCTTTATCCACCAGCAGTTCGGCTATAAAATAAGACACTTCAATTAATATACTTAAAAATATACTTTTAATTAATGTTAATTAAAACATAAACATTGTCAAATACACTGGAAAGAAAAAGATAAATCAAGTCATGATTCCAATTCATTTTCTTCCTAAAAAAATTCAAAGATAAAAAAACTTTCTGAAACAGAATAATGAAATAATAAGATTTAGTAAATCCAAAGATAAGCGTATACTTCAGTAGATACAGACTCTGTTATTTGTCTTATTTCCTGTTTTTTATAGCACAGAAATGGCTATTTACTGTCAACAATAGTGTAGCTTGATTGACTTATACTTTTACTAGTACATATCATCAAAGAAAGGAGAATGGACAAGAAGAGTCAACAAATACAAATGTTTAATAAATAGAGTGTTGAAAAAATCAAATATTTAACTGTTAAAAGAATTTTATATTAAATATACTGTAATTAATAACAAATATAAAAAGAAATATATAGTTGACTTTACAAAAAAATTTATGTATTACCAAAATATTCATTTTTGTGCATTAAACCAGGTTTTATTCTTAATTATGTTAAATAAGCTATTCTGAAACTAAATAATAATAATATTTAATAACAAATATTAACATACAATAATGTTAATATTTGTTACTTTTTATAATACAGGCATACCTCGACTTACGTCGGTTTCGAGTTACGTCGTTCCCGATTATACGTCGCTTGTTAAAAAAGTATATGGAAAAATAAAAATCAAGTTTAAGTCATTTTATTCGACTTTACGTCTGTCCGCCACAAATATTGAAGTCGTAATATCACTAGATAAACGTTTAAAGCACATAAAATCATATTAAAATATATACAAGTATGTACTGTATTTACAGTACACGCATTCGTAAATTTAGATTACTTTTTTTGTACTATATTAAAAACTAAAATTTATTTGTTTGTAAGCTTAAAATAGATTTTTATTAACCATATATTATTTAAAATGCTTTCCTAGTGATAAGTAGATTCGGAGACAGGTAAATTCGACTTACGTCGTTTTCCTGGAACCAATTACCGACGTAAGGCGAGGTATACCTGTACATTTAATGAAGTTTCAATTAATAGGATTTTAAACTTTCGATAAATCAAGTTATTTAAATATATTTATTCAGCCAAAAAGTTTACATTA